CAGTTCCACTTCCAGATTTTTGGGTGGTTTAATTGAAGAGTCTCAGACTTTCCTGCTTGGGCTGGCTTTGAATTGGGATCCTCAGATCTCAGCCTCCTTGGTAGCTCTGATTATAGGCCTAAGCCACCATTACCCACCTTCTATTTTTTTTTTCTATTTTTAAAGAGACATAGCAAGAATGATAACCACCATGCAAGAAACACCATGGCTCACAGACCAAATAACCTATGAGGAATGAATTTATCCCAAATGAGGAAAGAATTAGAGTCTGGAACTCCAGTTCAGTCTAGGATAGACCTAGACTGGTTGTCATAGACTGGAAGAAGGATTAGCAGTTATTACATTTCCAAGTAATAACCACAGAACAAATTCATCAATTGAACAAGGCCTGTTTGCCTTAATCTAGGGCAGTGCTTCCCTGGAAATACTGGGTGAGCATGGCTTTCCAGGATGAAATATGGAAAACATTGATTAAGGTCTTAACTCCTCCCCGCCTTTTTTAAATTACAAAGTAGCTTCAAGGAAGGAGTTGGATGCTTATCTACAATTGATCAAATACCCAATGCATGCTTTTCTGTCATGAGGCAGTTTGTCATTTTTCCTTGCCTTTGCTGTGACTTTAGGTGGGGCCCACACAGCTCTAGGGCCTTGATCAAGATTATTTCCCTTGCGGGAAGTCATAAACACTAGCTGTCAAGTGACTGTCATTTGCCCGTTGGAGGGCCCCACTGGTGGGAACTTCAGTCTCACCACAGAAGGGGTAGTCTGTGGAGAGCTGGAGAGCTGTGGCGATCTTTCCTGGTCCCTGGCTCTCCAATATGAGGGTAAGGTCATCATTTGAGACAGGCAATAGGGATAAGTAGATGGACAGTGGAAACTCAGAGGTAAAGCAGTACATACACTGGCTGAGTGGAGAGGCTGAGGGCTGCTCTAGTCTCAAGTAGGCTTGTGGTAGAAGCCATTCTGCTGTTCAACAATCTGCATATTGGCTCACATGGTTGTACGGGCCTGTGTTGTCATGAGCAAGGTGTTTCAGGTGAAGTGGAAGAACATGTCAAAACTGTTCAGTGATCAGGCACTGGTGATGTTCATGCCTGGATTCCTCGCTACTCAGGAAGCTGAGATTTGAGGAGATATGTTCAAAATCAGCCTGGGCAAATGAATCAGAAAGACTCTTATGGCCAATTCGCCAGCCCAAACCCTGAAGTAGAGGTGTGGCTCAAGTGGTAGAGTGTCAGTCTTGATAAAAAAAAAAAAAGCCAAGCAAGAACTCAAAGCCCTGAGTCCAAGCCCCAGCACTCACATACACAGACTCACTAAACACACACCTAAAAACCCAAAATCAACCAACTACAACAAAAAATGGTTCAGTGCACTCACAGTGCCTGTGAGTGGAAGCTACTAGTACTGGCCCTGGTAACAATCAAGAGACCAAGCAGCCAGTATTAGAAATGAGGTGCCCTGTGCCAGAGGGGAAGCCATTGTCCATACTTTGGAGGGGTGTGGCTGATGAGCTCCCTGGCTCATTAGAGTTCCAAGATCAATTAAGTGAGGCCCCTGTTGGACAGCTTGAGGGGCACTTGGGTGTTCATTCCTGGAAGGTCTTTGCTGAACCCCTGGTTGCCCCCAAGGTGGCCCCATAGTATTGCTGTATCAATACATGCCAGAAATGCCTTCATGGACACTCAGCCGTGGACAGGGATCACACTGTTCACCAGAGAGGTCACACTGCAAGCAAGGTCACACTGGGCTTTTGTTAGTGGGGGGGGACTGGGGTGGGGAGGGAGCTGATGAAGACACCAGGCAAGGGAGTGAAATGAGCATGTCTGGGCTTGAACAGCCACAGGCCAGGAGCCTGGGCTCCGTCCCTAGGTGGGAGACAAGGGTCTTGATGACAAAAGCAGCAAAACTGTCAAGGGTGGAGTCTCTGCAGAACTGTCAGGTGTCCCTGTTTAGCTGGAAGTGGCGAGAGAAGGTGGCTTCAGGTGGTAGCATTTACTGGGAAGGAAAGGAGGACTGGGACAGGTGGGGAGGCAGGGCTTGGAAATAGGAAAACAAGTCTGAGAGTCTTGGAGGCGCTGATGGGATGTGGATGTCAATCAAGCAAATGAATAAATGTGTAGTAGGGTCTGTGTCTCTCTCTCACACACAGACACACACTGTTTCAGGCACCTTGTACATACTGCTGTCCTTCATCCTAACAGCTCCATAAAGCCAGTGCTTTTATTACCATTTTGCCCACGAGACAGCAGAGACCCATCAAGAGTAAATGATTTGCCTCATGTGACCCAGCTAGGCAGGGCCTGGGTTTGACCTCAAAGCCCTCTGATCTTGAGATCTGTGCTGCTTTGTAACATGGAGAGATCTTGGTCTGGAGCTCAAGTTAGAACCTGTGCTACTGCTGTACAGGGGGACATCTGCAGCCACAGTGTGGGAGACTGAGGCAGCAGGTATTGATCCTTTGGATGAATGAACATTTAGGCTGAAGTAACCACATTGGTCAGGTACCCTCAGATAGGGCCCCATGGAGGACAACACATTCAGCAAAGCTCCTGAGCCCCTGTAGGCAACTCAACTAAGGGATGGGGGGCAGAAGGCTGTCGGCTTATCTGATGCATGGTGGCTTTAGGATCTCTCATGTGGGTACAGAGAGGTAGCTGTGTCTCAGGAGACACTGTGCTAGGCCAGTTCTTGGCATTGAAGGACAGCAGGCTGTTGTCACCGACACTTGCTGATGACCTGAATGACAGAACTCTAAACTGCTCCCCAACAAGACTTAATTCAAGCTTCCTTCCTTCACGGCTTCTAAAATGCCCATATCCCTGGAGCTGACAAGCCAAAGGATGAACACGTAACTCAACGGTCCTATTTTCTAAATGAGAAAACTGAGGCCTGAAGCAGTTGACATGGCCTACATTGTCCAATTGGTTGCAGTAGCTGAACCATCACTGCTATCACCAGAGGCTGTAAACACTGCGAAGATACACGCCAGGAGTCTCTGCTTGCTTGGGGAGAATGTGTAGCCATGACCTGAAGTTCGCTCCTTCCCAGCCATTTTTATTTTTTCTGTCTTGCCAGGCAGAAACTATGTGTGGCTTCTCAATGCCCGTTCCTCTCCCTGTTGCCCCCTACCCCTTTCATGAACCTGGAAACCTGTAGTCTGGTTCTACACATTAGAATTTTGAAAAGCCAGGGAGCTTCGGGAAGAAAGGGCTGGATGAGGGAGACAAACTTGCAGATCGGAAACTGAAACCCGTGTGTAAAGCACTTACCATGTCTGCTGCCAACACTGCTTCCGGAGCAATACAGCCCAACCACTTGGATGCAAAATCTGGAGGACTGAGGAAGCTAGCAGGGTTTTCTCAGCAAAGACTAAGGCCTTACATGTGGGCCATTCGAGGTCCCTGGTAAGGGAAAAGAGGATCCCTTTCAACTGTTCTTCCAGGCTGGAACCACCCAGAAGGGTGATTTCCAACCCATTGCAGCTGGTCCAGCCTGAAGGAAGGGCTTGTTAGCCACAAAGACTCTAGCCCGGCCCCACCCAGATCTGCTAGGTGGGTGCCTACTCATTAACAAAGTCCACAGGTGTTTCCTGGGCAAGTGTGAGTTCAGTGAGCAGCCCCTCACTAGGCCCCTCCACCCAGGGAAAGTGTCCTCTACATTTTTGTGGCCCAGTGATTTTTTAGTTAGTAACTAGATTATGCAAGAAAGTGTTTTCTGGTCCTGGGGCTTAAACTCAGCACCTGAGTGCTGTCCCTGAGCTTTTTTTGCTCAAGGCTAGCACTCCACCAGTTGAGCTACATACAGCTCTACTTCTGGCTTTTTAGTGGTTAATTGGGGATAAGTGTCTCATGGACTTTCCTGCCCAGGCTGGCTTTGAACTATGATCCTTAGATCTTGGCCTCCTAAGGAGCTAGGATTACAAGCATGACACTTGTGCCTGGCTGAAAGGTGTTTTTTGTTTGTTTTCTAATAGGACAAATACTGAGTCTTCTCAAGATGTGAGGAAATTGCCTTCTCCAGATGTGGGCGGATTGTCTGTTTTTGAGGGTCTGCCCATGGCCAATACCAATATCTGTGATTGTTCCAGTCCTTTATATAAAATGACAATCTATTTGCCCAGGACCTGCTCACATCCTCCTGTATACTTTAATCCATGTCTATATTACAATTTTCAATGCAGTGGAAATTCTGGGTCAATAATTGTTATACTATATAATGCAGGGAGCAGAGATGAAAAGTCCACTATATGCTAAGAAGTAAAGCTATCTTGGGCATCTCTTTAGGGCCAGGTAAAGAACCCCCAGGTATTCATTGTGACTTTAGACCAATACTTAATATCAATGAAACGAAACGACCCTGAGTGATTTAACAAAAGTTTCATTATATAGTCACTATGCCAGAAAGGCAGTGTGTGTGGGGTGGGGGTGGGGTGGGGGAGGGGTACTGGGGCTTGAACTCAGGGCTTGGGAACTGTCTCTCAGCACTCTAGCACTTGAACCACACTGCCACTTCTGGCTTTTTGCTAGTTAAATGGCGATAAGAGTCTCATGGACTTTCCTGTCTGGGCTGGCTTCTAACCAGGATCCTCAGATCTCAGCCTCCAAAGTAGCTAGGATTACAGATGTGAGCCACTAGCACCCAGCTGGGCAGAACATTATAGGTATCCTGAAAGTTAAGAAAGTCCTAAAATACAAAAGCCTTGAAGAAAGTTAATCTATGTGCAACAATACTTCCTCCTATTACTAGGTACAGGAGCCTGCCCTGTATCATCACTGACTAGTATTATTTTGCTGATCAGATGAACTTTATCCTTCTTGGAGCCCCTTTTCCACCCCAACTAAGTATTCTTTTCTCCTTTCCTTTCCTTTATTTTCCTTTCCTTTCCTTTCCCTTCCTTCCTTCCCTTCCTCCCTTCCCTTCCCTTCCTTCCTTCCTTCCTTCCTTCCTTCCTTTTGGTAGATCTGCGGGTAATAAAACACACAGTAGTCAATTTTTTTTTGATTTTTTGGTTTGTTTTTAAAGAAACTGCATACATCATCAGACAAACAATAATTTAAATACCATGCAGTTTCTGTATGTACAAAACCTAGGCCATAGAGATCCAGTTTAATTCATACACCATCTTCCTCACACAGCTGTCATCTGTGGAACAAGAACCCGGAAGAGTACGGACTGACGCTCACCACACGCACTCACTCCTATACAAAGACGAACTATGTACAGACACCGGAGAGCAACTGCGAAGAGCCGCCGGCTTGGGGATCACCAGACAAATGGGAAGAAAACGTTGCCGGAAGTGACCTTTGCCCACTGGCTGTGCAAGGAAGGCGTGTGTGACAGCCTGAAATTCCACACCACAATGTTCAATCAGCAAATATAAATACAGGTTCAGAAGCGGGAGAAAAATAAACTCAGAGCTTCTTATCACAATGGACCATCTCCTTGTTTGGTTTTCTCGCATCTGACAGAAAGGCTAAAGTTTTCCATCTTTTACAGGGCTTTGAGGGCCTTTGGGGGAAGAAAGAATATGAAGGTTGAGCAGAAATTTCACAAAAGCAAATCAGCCAGAGCCTCTAGTCAAGGCTGGGGTTTGAGGTGGGGTTTGGCACAAAGTCTGATTATGAGGGGGAACTGATGTGAATTCAAATGACAGCGCACTCCACTGGGCATGGAGACCCTCAAGTATACTGTCCTCAGAACTGCACATGTTTCAGGAAAGGGGTGTGTGTATGTGAAGCTGTCTAGCCCACCTCTTTTCCTTCCCCACTTAAGTCAAATCGTCATTTGGGGAAGTAACACAAGTTGCTTCAGTAACGATATGGGGGGGGGGGGAAAGAAATATGGATAGATCATCCTAAAAGACCTTAAGGTTTTTAGAAAGAGACAGCAGAGGGCCCTGTCCTGCAGGCTGCTGAGCTGGGTAAAGCCACTTAACTTGGGTTTGTCATAGCTGATGCTGAAGGTCAATGACCTTTCAGGAGTATGGAAAGTGCACCCTTAACTCTGAGACAATGACTTCCACAAAGGGTGTCCTTGTAGCAGGAAGAGAAGTGGGGCCTGTTCACTTTCTCCCGTGCAGAGAAGGGACTGTTGTCTCAGGGCACTTGGAAGGGCAACCTGGCCTGTGGGCTGACTACAGGGATGTCAGTTTGGGCCTTCTGTTCCCAGGGGGAAGGCCCAAGAATCCAGGCCAGTAGAGAAACCCTGAGCCTTCCTGGGAGGAGTCAATGGAATGAGGTTCCTAGGACTCACTCCTGGCTGGGGAAGGCCCGGAGGTCAGGCCAGGGTGCTGTGTGCTTCCTAAAGCACAGCTGCTGGTTAGAGGAAGTGCCGACCTCAGGCCACAGCCAGGCAGGCAACTGGGCCTGCCCACAGCACATGCCTGCCTGCTTTAGAGAAGTTCAATGAAAGAGCCCTGCGGTCTGGTCCTACCGTTTGCACATTCAAATGTCAGTAAGCCTTTCCAGAAGACTGTGTTGACAGCCATGAAGACTGTGTTTATAGCCACGTTAAAATCTCAACCACATTTTCCCTGAATACCTCTCCCAACTGCAGGAATTATTCAAATTCAACATTCAAATAATAATGAAAAGATCTAGTGATAGTGGTGTCCTTGGGCTAGACAGAGCCGTGCGCTGCCTGTGGAGATATCCTGAGCTCCCCCTCACCGTATCTCTCTTACCATGGAGAAATTAATGCCTGCAAAGAGATCCATGGCCTCATGGATGAGTTTCACATACTAAAAGTAACTAGGTTTCCACACAGTTGATGGTGGGGCCTTGATTCTTTTAGGGATAGCCAGGCTGGCATCTTTCTAAACCCGGGGCATGTGTCGTATAGAGAGAGCTATCACCAAGAAGGACTGTGGTGGTCCTGAAGCTAGGCACACCACCGATGGTTCAGAAGAGCTCTGGTAAGGAAAATAACGCCCCTGTGGCAAGCCTCATTAGCATACTTGTTAGAGTTTGGACAACCAAACTATATATATATATATGCCCTGGTCAACAGAGCTTGCCTTCCTGGGGTCCCAGTACACAGGACTATTGGAGGCACATCTCCAGCCTCTTACCATCAGCAGAGAGGAAGGATTCTCTCTGGATCGGTGGAGCAGGGAGGTGCTCTGTGGTTTGGCATGGCTAGCCCATACTCAGCTCTGGACATCTCCATGGAAATGCATCAGACAGAGAAAAGAGAATTAGAAGGCCATGGAGAGGTGCTGGGGTTCCAGTCCCTCAGGGGCTGGAGAGCCAGTCTTATAGGCATGGCTTCTGGTCCCCATGCCTGATCCTAAAATCAGAAGCTGTTTATTTCCAGGCCACATCATCTTAGTAGACCCTAGGGGGCATAGAGCAGCTGAAGGATACCAGCCAGAGTTTCTGACCCTGACAGGCTCCTCGTGTTCATACAAGTGAACGCCATGTTTTTGATGGTGTTCATCTGTGTGGATCACCTCTGACATTAGGCTTCCTGAACGTGAGCGGGTCAATTAGTTTGAACTGATTAGCTAACAACTCTCCTTTTCTATCCCGGAGCATCTGAGCAGGCATCTCAGCTCAGGATAGGGGGCAGCCTGGAGCTCAGCACCAGCTTTCCCCATCTACTTCACACATGCTCAGGACCAACAGGCTAGAACACAGACTCTCCCAGGAACAAACTGAAGAGAAAGGATAAGCGTGACCCAGAACGACTCCCTCCTTCCTCCTATCCTCTTCCTTCTCCTCAGGGATTCCCCAGGACGGGTGCCACATCTGGAGCCAGTGCATCTGGCCAAATCTAGAAGGCCAACTTTGTACAGTCACTCCCACACTAGGCCACATCTCCCACATCCTTGGACTCAGCTCATAGTCCCTTGTGAGGAAGGAATTCATGGCAGACTAAACCAACGCGGTGCCTGCCGGGCCTGGATGGAGAGGGTGAGGACCACTCCACCTCTGCGAGGTCTTCAGTCTGGGCTCTGCTGGCTGCTTGGGACCCATTTCAGTACTGGAAGTAGAGCCTGCAGTTCTGATGGAGCATCGGTCACCATCACGATGTTGTCACACATAGAATCCTGATTGTTTCCTTTTATTTTGCTGCTGCTTCTTTTTCTTCTCTTTCTCTCTCTCTCTCTCTTTTTTTTAAAAAAAAGGCAGTTCAAAAGATTTACATCTTAATGGGGAAGTGAATAAATACCAGCACTTATGGTTCTTATAAATTTATGTTTTGAAGACAGCAGAGTACTCAAGAGCAATTCCACTGTTAAGGTCGGTGAAACCTAGGAAAACAAATAACTTCATCAAAGACCAAGGCATTGGATTTGGCAAGACCACTTCCTATGTTTGTGATAGTGATTGGAGGAGGTATAACCCTCCCACGTAAGACAGCTCCACACAGGAACACACCCGAGTACTTGAGTTCTACCAAATTCCACTCTAGTTTTAGGACAGTTTTAATCTGGAGTTCCTAGGGACTAAACCAGGCAGTTCTGGTGGGCTGGGTCCATCCATGGGCCTGGTTCTAGTAGCAGGATGGAGGAGGAGCCTGGACCATTTTCCCTATATGTTTACCAAAGGAGAGTAAGTAGAAGAATGAGGGCAATCACTTACTGGCTAACCAGCCATCTAACCTTTAATAAGCCCTTTAGTGGTCCCCTTCCTCAAATGTCATCACCCAGCACTGTCTTAGAGAATGGCAGAGAATAACAGACGTGAGCTCACTCTGGAAATTCTATGTGGCTTTGGCCTCTGCCAACTGGGATCCACTTTGCTTTCCACTTTAAGTTTTCATAAAAGTTCACTTCTGGTTTATTGGTAGTATGGTGCTTTTACATTTTTCATTTGAATGAATTTAAAAAGTGAAGTTTCAGAAGGCTTTATTTATTTTTTTTTAAAGACCAGGCCTTCAGGCTTCCTCATCTTACTTTGAGTAAATGTGGAAATTCATGTTGACTTTTCCTTTATCTTTCCTCCTTGATACCAGCCAAATTACTTGTGACCCACAGGAAATGCTTACTGCCATTGGATGGAAGGGAGGAACCCCAGCTAATCCCCCCTGGATACTAACCTTGTTAAGTGTCTACTCAACTCATGAACTTCCATCTCCGTGCTTTTAAATTCATTGAGCTCCTTCCGAATGGCAGCCTGGAATGAAGAGCTTGTCAGCACACAGTTTAACATATCTAATGTGGATTTTTTTCTTCTTTTTACATTGAGAATTCCTTTTATTGAGAAAGGAAAACAATCACCTAGACTGTCCTCTGGAACCTCCTACGATTCCTCTTCTTAGGGGAAATTGATGAGTACTTAATACAGCAAGTGATGCTTGTTGATGTGACTATGATTTGTTTTCCATTTCTCCCATTAGGACAAGAATAGCAAACACAGTGGCTTTAGCTTCTTTCAATTCTGTGCCTCCTTCACTGGATACACTCACTGGAGGACCGTGACCTTGTCACAGTCTGTGATAAGCCTGGAGCCTCATTTCTAAGGATCAGCCTGGAGTTTCATACCCTTAAACTGTCCAGTGCTTGCAAAAGCACTATCTTGCTTCTTTGGGAATAGCCTCCCAAGCTATGGCTTAAATGAAAAGTTCATGTGTTAGAACTTTAATGCTCAGTGCATGGTATTGAGAGGTAGTGAGGCCTTTAAGAGACATCAAGAAAGATTAATGTTTTTCTCAAGGGAGTGAATCAGTTACAGCAAGAGAGGGCTGCTAAAAATATAAAGCAAGACTTTTTTTTTTAATCTTTTCTTTCTTTTTCCTTCCTTCCTTCCTTCCTTCCTTCCTTCCTCTATGTGTGGGCTGGTACTGGGCCTTGAACCTGGGGTCTGGGTACTGTCCCTAGGCTTTTGTACTCAGGTTGCTGCTCTACTACTTTACCTACTTCTGGCTTTTTGGTGGTTAATTGGAGATGAGAGTCTCACAGACTATTCTGCCTAAGCTGGCTTTGAACCCCAATTCTCAGATTTCAGCCTACTGAGTAGTCAGGATTACAAGCCACTGGCACCTAGCAACTGCTTCTGTTCTATTATGAAACACCTTGACAAGGCCCTCACCAGATCCCTGAACTTGGGACTTCCTGGCCTCTAGTAACAGTGAGACTTTAAAAACTTCTTTCCTTATAAAATTACCCCATCTCAGGCACTGGTCTGTCTTATGCGTTGTCCAAGTGGTGAAGAATACCAGCAGTGACCTTCCTGCTGATCACGGAGGGGAGGGGGTGGGGAGAAGGAGCACTATTAGGAATGAATAGCACTATTAGGATGGAGTTCTGAGCACCCACCATAGAGGCAGGCGGTGGCCTGGCTGTTGGTCTCTTTTCAGGCTTGCCAGCAGCACATGGAAGTCTCCCACCACAACCCTCCCCATTTTTCCTTGTGCCCTTTGCATACTTTATCAGCAGCGGTGAGGCGGGTCCACGGCTTGTCTGCCCTGCGGTCATAGTCCTGAGCATCGGCCACCTCCACGTAGTCACTGAAGCGGATGAGGATCTTCCTTTCCCGAAGTTCTTCCACTGTGGGCCTTTGACTGAGCTGCATAGAGGGATGAGAGAAGAGTCAACCAAAGCAGTTTCACCCATAAGGTCTGTTCATGAAATTGCAGGCATTGGAAAATGAGCTCCAGAAGGGCAACAGGCAGGGCACGTGGCAAAGGCAGAGCAGGGGTCTGGTGTGGGGCAGATCCTGGGTTCCCAACTTCTGAAGCTACTTCTGACCTATGATGATACAACACGTTTCAACCAATGTTATTTTATTTTTTTAATTTTTTTATTGTAAAGATACTATACAGAGGGTTACAGTTACATGAGTGAGGTAATGAGTACATTTCCTCTTGAACATTGTTACCCCCCCCCATTGTTTTCCCCCTACCATCCCCTCCTTCCCTTCCCCGAGGTTCTTTTTTTTTTTTTTTTTGATTGTGATTAAGTGATTACATAATTTCCGGAAATTCACAGTATTGTGGAATAATGATGCTCATTTAAAGTCACAAGTTCATTCTAACTTTCCTGGAGCAAATTGTCTATCACAGTCTGTAATATATAACGGTGCTCACATGTTATATACCATATATGTGATCAGCAGCATGGGGATATTTGGTAGTGGTTCAACCAGATGAGTGGGAGTTCTTTGTTTCTTAAGTCCTGTTAGTTTTGTCATATCACCTAACATTTTGGATTTAGCATCCACTTATCAGGGAGATCATGTACCGTTTGTCTCTTCGCTCTTGGCTTACCTCGCTCAACATGATTCCTTCTAGCTCCATCCATTTCCCTGCAAATGCCATTATTTTGTCATTTCTAATGGCTGCATAATATTCCATTGTGTATAGATACCACAATTTTTGGATCCATTCATCTGTCGTGGGGCATCTGGGTTGTTTCCATATCCTAGCTATTGTGAACAGTGCTGCAATAAACATGGAGGTGCACGTGTCCTTGTATATTGGTTCCTGTTGTTCAGGGTAGATGCCTAGAAGTGGTATGACTGGGACGTAAGGGAGGTCAATCTTTAGCTTTCTAAGGACCCTCCAGACTGCTTTCCAAAGTGGTTGTATAAGTGTACATTCCCACCAGCAGTGTAATAGGGTTCCTCGTTCTCCACATCCCCTCCAGCATTTGTCGTTGGCTGATTTGTGGATGTGGGACATTCTGACTGGGGTAAGGTGGTATCTCAGGGTTGTCTTTATTTGCATTTCCTTCACCACCAGGGATGATGAATATTTCCTCATGTGTTTCTTTGCCATTTTTATTTCTTCATTTGAGAAGTCCCTCTTTAGTTCCCTTGCCCGATGTTATTTTAAAATGAAAATTCCCCCATGTTTAATGCTATATAAAATAAGCAAGTATGTCCAGCTTGTTTTCTGGTTTTTTTTTGGTGCCAGTCCCAGAGCCTGGGCACTGTCCCTGAGCTATTTTGCTCAAGGCTAGCCCTCTACCATTTGAGCCACAGCTCCACTTCTGGTCTTTCGGTGCTTAAGTAAAGATAAAAGAGTCTCATGGACTTTCCTGACAGGTTGGCTTCAAACCATGATCCTCAGATCTTAACTTCTTCTGTAGCTAGGATTACAGCTGCCAGCTTCCCCTGGCTATGTTTTTTTAAATTGTCACACAGCTGCTTGGTGGTGGGTACTGGGACCGGACAGAAGCAGGCCTGCAATGCTGCTTGGCCAGTGGTGGGAAGCTGTGGCGATGTCCACTGGAGACCTCCTATGTGGCGCTGTCCTGCCTGAGGTAGCCATGGCATCAGTGATAGACCTTTCCGGGAAGTCACAGGCTATATGTCTGGTGTTGCTGGAAACAAGAATAGCGGCCATCCAGGCACCAAAATATTCCTCTCAAAAATGTTGCACCCAGGGAGGATTTGTACTATAATTAAACTATATTAAAAGCATTTAATATTTGCCATTTGAACCTTAGATAGAATAGAGTCCTACTCACAATCTCCTTTGTGTTCCTAGCTGGATTTACCCTCAATGCATTGGACAAGCAACATTCCTTTCTGTATGTGCTGACTCCAGGA